AAGTGTTATGGACTAAATGTTCATGTCCCCCAGCCAAATTTGTATGTTGAAGCCCTAACCCCCAATGTGATGGTATTTGGAGGTGAGACCTTTGGGGGGTGATTGGGTTTAGTGGAGGTCATTAGAGTGGGGCCGTCATGATGGAATTGGTGTCTTTATAAGGACATGTGAGCACATGGCGGGAAGGCAGCCATCCGTAAGCCATGAAGAGAGCCCTCATCAGGAACTGGCACCTTGATCTTGGACTTTTCAGCCTCCATAATCATGTGAGTCAATTCCTTAGAGTAAATGTCTTGTGTATCTGCTGGAACCTAAATCTCGGATTCCCCAGCCTCCACAACCGTGAGAAATAAATGTCTGTTGTTTAAGCCACCCAGTCCAGGTGTTTTGTTACGGCAGCCCGAGCTGAGACACAGAGTGAACAGCAAGAACAAAGGCTGTGAAGTGGGGAAGAGCTTGGTGGCTTGCAGGGAGAGCAGGGGGTGGCACGGCTGGCTCTCGGGTGAGACACAGGGGCCACATCACATATAGCACTTGGGGTACCTTTTCTGTTGGGGTCTGCTGAACAGTTTGGGGGGCAGGGAAGTGATGTGATCCGATTCTCATTTCGAAGAGATGGTTTTGCCTGTGGCATGGAAGCAAGGGATAGCAGTTAGGAGGTGAGAGAGGATGGTGGCTTGAATAGGGTGACAGAGGTGAGCATCATGGGAAATGGTCACAGGTGGGTTTTGTTTGAAGGCAGAGCCCATAGGATTTGCTGATGGGTTGGATATGAGGTCAGGAAGCAGAGGATGCAAGGATGCCTGCTCGATTTGGGGGTGAATTTGGGTGAAGCCCTAGGAAAGGAATAGGAAGGTGTGTGTATGTGTCTGTGTGTGTGTGTGTGTGTGTGTATAGGTGATCCCAGGTTAAGTCTGAGAGCTCTTATCAGCCTGGTGGAGTTGATGAGGGTTGGCCACAGGGAAGAGATCCAATCTCCAGATCATGCCTTGGGATTCATCAGTAACAGGGGCACTGTGTTTGTGGACTTCTGGGGCATTCTTGAGTGACTTTTCTCAGTGTCGTGATGGTGAAAGTAGTATAGCTGGAAAGAGTGAGAGTTAAAATTCACCATGTGCTTATAATGTGCCAGGTGCTGAGCTGAGTGCTTTGTATGCGTAATCTCATTTAATCCTCACAATTCCCTAATACCTCATTTTTACAGCTTTAGAACACCAAGGCACTGAGAGGTGTGTGGTCATGATTCATTTTTCAGAGAAGCACTTCACCGTGGGCTGCTGGCGACAGCACCATGCCAGGCTGCCTCTGCATAGGAGCCTGGATGGCTGAGGAATCCTTTCTTCCTCAGCCTTTTCATTGTGCACACTCAACAGCTGGGTGTTGTGAAAAGAGTAATGGTGGACGTGAACTCTGGGGACATAGGTTCAAGTCCAGCCTCTGTTATTTACGGGATGCTTTGTTTGGGGAGAATTATCATGTGGTGTTCACAGGATGTCTTCAGGCAAAGTTTGTTCTTGTCTGCCGTCTTTGCTTTGCCATCCGTCCCTTCTCCAGTTTCCAGCCAGCTCCTGCCAGCCTAGTCCCTTTTAGCCAACTCTCATTTCCTGGCTGTGCCAGCCTGATTACTTCTAATTGTCTTTGACTGCTTCCAGCTGGGTCTTCTAGCTGGCGTCTGTGGGAGCACAGAGACGGTCTCCCGGCCATATGGAGTGAGGAGATGGTGAGGAAGAAGGAAGCAGCTGATACGAGTCAACTGAGAAAGCTGTTCGAGGCTTTCCAGCCCACTGTGATGGGTAACGTTCTTTAAAGGGTTAACTCATCCAAATTAGAGAATGACTCATCTTTGACAAGACAAACGATTATATTCGTTGATGCCCAAAGGCAACCAACAATGTAGCTAGAAACACTTTTAGAAAGTCATTAGTAATGCCTCCCCCAGGCCAGATGGGGTCTTGCTTGTCAGGAGCATTAAACTCCACTTAAGAATCAGTCAATGATTACTTTCATTCATTCATTCATTCATTCAACAAATACTTACTGAACAATGATGTCTCAGGAACTGTGCTAGGTACAGTAGGGCGACTAAAAATAAAATTAGACACAGCCTCTGTCCTCAATGGGTCTAGAAGAGAAGAAAGTCATTCATACAGGAGATGAGCGGAGTGTGAAATGAGTGATGTGTGGTAAGACAGAACACAGGGGTGACTGGCATCCTGTAGATCATTGGTTAGGGGGGGCTTTATGCGGAGGGGGACATCTGAGCTAGGTAGAAATGGGTCTGAGACAGCAGATTGGGCGTGGGGATGGCATAGGCAAAGGTGTGGAGGTAGGAAGCCCATCTTGGATGAAAACAGCCAAAACGTAGTGCCCAGGGAAACTCCACGGGAGAATAAGGCTAGAAATTTAGTTTGGACTAATTAGCAGAGAATCTTCAATGCTGCGCTACTGCTATTCCATCAGATGTTTTCTGCATCCTTAATATGAGGGCAAGACATTGTTTTGTATCTAATTTGTCTCACATAAAGAAATTTCTGGGATTATTCCTTATTAAATAAGGCCCTTTCAGAGAACAGGACTTGCGGTTCCAAAATCACTTACTAAGCTGAGGCAGGGGTAGGATTTGAACTTCTCTTTGGCATCCATCCCAGCTTATGGAATTAGCAATGAATGTGAATCAAACCCAGGCAGCAGGTTTGAAAAAGATTTAATGGTCCTGGATTTTTCTCTCTTCTTCACCCCTTTCCTGACCTCTACCCTGAAAGGATAATTAAAAGGAAAGAAAATCTCTATTTCATTGCAAATGTCTCCCACCATTTTTGTGAAACTTTTTTTTAGGCCATAAAGATACTTTGATGAACAGTCTCTGAAATTTGCCTTAAACCATACTAAATAAATCTCTAAATTTTCATAAAGAGGTAATGTCCTAAAATTTAAAAAAATCATACATTAATACAACATTGGGGAAACTCCCAAACCTTTTTTGATAGAAGATTCAGAATGGTTTTGACCCCATGGTCCTCACTCATTAAACATTTGTTGAACATCTACCCTGCTGGCACCATCCGCCTCCGATGTAACTGTCCTCTTAAAATGTGTTTACTGAATTAGAGACATTAAAACAATTGGACAGACCTTGCAGAAATTGTCTGGGTGGTGTGGGGGCAAAGAAGTCCCTTAAGACAGCAAGAAAAACATTTTAAAATGTATCTTTAATATTGGAAAACGGGAACAATGAGCCGACCAACAAAAGACCACAATATGCTCAGTCATAACAACTGAGGTTAGTGACTCGCAACATGTAAGTAGATGCATATAGTAGCATATTTAAAATTAGACCTATTTAGAACAGGCGTTTCTCTGGGTCTCTTCTCAGATGGGTTGGCCAGCCCCCACGACACTGGATTAATGACGGCTGTCCCGCGGTCCCCCCACGCCACCCTCATCTCAAAGCATGGATGTGGGTCGATGCTATATTTGTTTACTGAGAAGTAAACAATGCAAGGAACTCTGTGAGGGCCAAATCCTCCCTTTCAGCTCTGAAGTTGCACGATCAGGGGTGAAGTTTGCATTAATTGCAGGCACCTCAACAGGTAGCATTTTGTAAATGCCTTCCCTCGACCTACCCTCCAGCTTCTCCCTCACAAGAGTCTTCATTTTCGGTTTGAGAAGACGTTGGGGATCCTGGAGACGGTCCAGAGCTGTCAGGGCAGCTGCAATTGTTTGTGAGATGAGCACAGTCCCAGCGCTCACAGAACAAAGCATCGGGGAGCAGCGAGCGCTGGTCCACCTCCTACTGCAATCACGGGCACCATTTCATTGGAAGGCAAAGAAGGTGTAAGCTACAGACAGGCAGCAAACGCCCTGTTGCCTTCGTTGCGGCTGCTCCTCCTCCAACACAGCAATCGGTCTGCGCGCGAGCCCGGGCAGTCGCCCTGCCACCTCCCCATCTTTTCTGCCACTCATCCATCTATCCATCCATCCATCCCAGGTCCAGGGGGCCCCAATGTGTGCCAGACTCTGGGCTGGGGCACCCAACCCGACCCACAGTTCACGGGGTTCGAGAGAGCTTCGCTCCCTTCCCCCGCCCCCAGTAGGTGCGGCTAGTGGGTAATTTCACCGCCGAAAGGTCCAGAAAACCCGAGCCCAGAATCCGGGCGAGAGGCGCAGCCGGAGGTGGCCCGACTCCCGCGGCCCGGGAACGCGCGTCTCCGAGGCCGCGCAGGGTCCCCCCGTCTGGCGCTCAGGTGGCTCCGCCGCCCACTCCGCCGCTCCCCTCCCTGAGCCCTCCCCTCTCCAGCGAGGGTCGAGTTTGGCTGCTGCGCGCGGGGAAGGAGGGGCTACGAAGGATTTGAAAGTGCACGGGCAGCGGAGTGGAGCTCGCATCTGTTCCCGCCGCCCGCGACCGGATTAAATTTCTGCAAATTCAAACTGAATGGGGCTTTCTTCTGCTGCCTTCCAGAGGGCGCCTGCAGCCCGCCGCGCGCTTCTCTCCGGCGGGAGCGGCCGCCCGGCGCACGGCTAGGAGCGAGCGAGCCGGCCCCGAGCCCGTGCGGGCCAGACGGCGGCGGCGAGGCGGAGGCTGCGGAGGCGCCCGGCTCCGGGACCAGGCACCCGGGCTCCTGGGCTCCGGGATTCAGGCGCCGGACCGCGCCCCTCCTCGCGCGCCCGAGCAGGGCGACTGTCATCAGCCTCCTGGACGGGACCCGGGGAGGGGTCCGGGTGTCTTGAAAGGGGCTCGGGCGACCCTCCGAGGAAGAACTTCTTGGGGGCGGGGTCCCCGGTCGCCCGGGCGGCCGCTATTGTCTGCGCGTCGTGGTCGGCCGCGCAGGGGGCGTGAGCGCGGGGCGCAAGGCGCGGAGACCTGGGCCGGGCGGGGCCCGGCTCAAGGCGGCGGCGGGAGGAGCCGGGGAGCCAGAGGAGGAGAAGGAGGAGGAGGAGGAGGAGAAAGAGCTTCGAGCGCGGGAGCCGAGCCGAAGCCGCGCGGGCCGCGGGCGAGCGCGATGCCGGCGGCGGCGGGGGACGGGCTGCTGGGGGAGCCGGCGGCGCCCGGGGGTGGCGGCGGCGCGGAGGACGCTGCCAGGCCGGCGGCGGCCTGCGAGGGAAGTTTCCTGCCGGCCTGGGTGAGCGGCGTGCCCCGCGAGCGGCTCCGCGACTTCCAGCACCACAAGCGCGTGGGCAACTACCTCATCGGCAGCAGGAAGCTGGGCGAGGGCTCCTTCGCCAAGGTGCGCGAGGGGCTGCACGTGCTGACCGGAGAGAAGGTGAGCCGCCCGCGCTCGGGCCGCCGGACCGCGGCGGGAGGGGCGGCCGGGGCCCCGCCGAGAGCACTGCACTGGGAGTCCGGCTGCGCAGTCCCGGGCCGGGCGCCTCCGCCTGACTTTCCTCTCGGGCTAAAAGAGAGGTCGAGCCAAACGCGGACTCAGGTCCCCGCAGCCAGGTCACCCAGCCTTCCCGATGGGCGATCTGGGGTCCGTTTCCCCGCGGGGCGGCTGGTTTACCCGCGAAGCCGTCCCGCGTAGCCTTGCCGCTCCTGCAAGGGCGCCGCCTGGCGGACGGCAGCGCGGCGTGGGGTAGGGGATGCTCCGCTCTCCCGGCCGGTAGGGGCGGCAGATCAGTGGAGAGGCAGGAACCAGGGGGACAGGACATGGGCCCTTTATATCGGGGGTCAGGAAAGCTGATTAGGCAGCCTTTGGGGGAGCTCGGCCTCTGATCCCCCTCCTTAGGGACATTCCTCTCCAGCTGTGGGCTGGGGCAGCTAGGGAATTTTCGTGCTCAGAGCAGGGTTTCAACACGTTACCCCCACCCCCGCCCAACATGTCTCCATCTGCCCTCCCCTGCATCCCCTCTCACCCCCTATTCTCACCCCACCATTCTCATCCTCTTCCCTCCATGCCCCACTGCCCTCTGTCCATCCCCCGAGCCCCAGGGTGGGGGCTTCTGGCAGGTACAGAGCTACACGGAACACCCCCAGAGTTTGGGAGATGCCTTCTTTTCTTTCTAGAAGAGGGGACAGGAGAGGAGGACCTCCCGAAGACCTGGAGGGGACGCTCTCCAGCCTTGTTAGAAGTTAGCTGCGAAGCCTTGCCCAGTGAGGGCCAGATAGATCTAAGGTGTAACTTAGATCTGTGAGAAGAAACCCAAGAGATGGTGAGTTTTGAGGCTGGGTCACCCCAGGCTGGAGGGTGCCCGGTGCTTGGAGCCATTCCAGGTTGGAGCTGTTCCAAGCTTCGGTCCTCCCAGACTCAAGGCTCCCCCCAGACTGGGAGTTGCTGAGCACTGGAGGGGTAGTACCCTTCCTGGCCCATGGGTCAGGGAGGCATCAGCAGGAGGGAGGGACAAGGGAAGCTTGGCTTCCTAACCTAGCAAGTAGCCAGGGAGCCACACCCTCTGCCCTCTGACCTGGGACCCTTTGCCCAGTGTGGGGCTGTGCGTGATACCTGGTCACAGAGCCAAGCTGCCCTGCCTGTCAGGCCCCAGCCTCACCCAGTCTTCAGCTTCCCTCCCGTGTCCCCACTTTGTCCTGGAGCCCTTGCATTTGAACGCTGGTCTCCATCACCCGTGAACTGGGAGTGTTCAGTATGAACTTACTGAATTGAGTAACTCTTCAAAGAAGAAGAAAAAAAACTCCAAACCTCATTCTAGTCCAAAGGGAGCGAGGCAGCTTTGCTCCTGGCGCGTGGTGAGCTGTCTGACTTACACAAGGCCAGTGGGTTCAGGGCGGGAGGATGCTGTGAGGCTGCAGCTGGCTAATTAGAGTGAGCTCACTTTGTCGTGTCCCTGTGTAAATTCCTTTTGGCCCTGGTGGTAGAAGTTTATTTTCATTTGCAACGTATAGGACTCAGTCTGGTCATGCATATTTTCTCTCTAAACGTAGCAGAAAGAGGTGAGTCCTGATGCTGACAGTGTAATTGCAAACATCACATTCTTCTCGCCCGTCCTGCCGCACAGCTTCTCTGGCTTCTCTCCACTCTCCCGTGCTGTGCTGTGCCTCTGGCTCCTCTGCCGTGCATTTTTACTCCATAGCATAAAGCTCTTGGCCTTGGCTGAACTGCCTGGGGATGTATTCGGAGCTCCGTGCTGGGCCCACTGAGCACCCTGGAATGCAGGCAGTTCCTGCCCAAACGGGACCCAAATGAGGAGCCCCTCTGCACCCCAAGCCCACGCCCCTCCCCCTCCCATCTGATCTTTCTTAAATGATGAATCTCACTTCCTCTTTGCAATGAGATGAGGTATTAATTGGATGTAAAATTATTTCCGTGCCTGGACCAATTGATTTGATCTAGTTAAGGACGGTGTTTCTTAGGATAGAGGAGCGGGGTGGCAGGGGAGGGCTGTTTATGTTGAAAAACTTGGTTTACCTGCTGCGCTCTTCTCTAGCCATGAGAATCGGTGCTCCAGGGACCGAGGCTTCAGGAGAAATCTGGGTTTTAGTTCACACAGTTGCCAGCTTTAAAGAAACAATGGTGTCATTCATAGCGTTGATCTCCCAAATCCAACACCTTTAATGCTTAACTAATAGATTTGGGTTTTAGCAGATCGTAGAGATTAAAATGTGTTTTTTTGTGCTTGACTCTGCTTGGGAGGGATTGCTGAGTTAATGAGTCCCCATCCCGGCTCCTGTTTTGGGTGTTGCCTAACTAAGGCCAAAACAAAGGTGAAGGCAACCTCAAGCTGTCTTCAACCTTAAGTTCTTTTGAAAAGGTGAGCTACTAAGTGGGTTTCAGCCTAGGGGAAGGGTTACTTGAGTGAGCAGAGCAGGGGAGACAACCAAAGGAAGGGGGTCATCAAACCTGCAGTGTCCTACCCAGTGGGTGATGTGAATGACCCAGACCCCGTTACTTCCTCCTTTCTTGGGGTGCATACTTTTTGGATTAAGCACTTCACTTTTCTCCTCTCCTTTCTGTTTTAAAGGACCACTTAGGAGAGGTATGAAGTCATGAACACTGTAGTGAGAAATAGGTGTATTCTCCCCAGCCCACCCCAAGTGGGAGGATCCAGGGCAGCTTGTCTTGGGGAATCAGTTCATGGAAAAGCTGCAAGAGGGGATGGGGAAAGAGAAGGTGAGGGGGCACCCCAAGTATGACCGGCTTCCTAGCTGCATTCTCAAACCGTGCACTTTGTTTTGGGTGATTTGGGCCAAAATCTATAGTATTGCTAGTTGAAGGCATTTGGTATGGGGGCTGTGTATGCGTGCATTGTGTGTTGTGTTTCAACTTGGTCCACATCTCCAAAAACCTTTGGGTGAAATCCTCCAGGGTTTCCTGGGAATCACTGTCTTGAGTCCAGATGACAAAAGGAGCCACTTCCTGACTTCCATTTCAGGCTTCGACCTTGTCTCACCAAGAGGCTCCTTTTGCCACCACTGCCTGAAGGACAGTATTTTGCCTGCTTTTCCCCTGAAGTCGTTTATCTGGAAGTCATTTGAATCTAGATGGCCCTTTTACTCCTTGAAAAGAAAGGATGGCTTTGGGCCGAGACCTAATTTTGTTCTCCTTTAGCGATGAGTGAATGCAGTCTCTCAATCTGGCTTTAAAAATAACTAGTTCACTTGATCACGTGAAACTTCTAATTGGCATATTCTCCGTCAGGGCCAAGTGTCTTTGACTGAAGGTAAGTTGATGACTTGACCAGGAAAAATGATCACAGCGTCAGATTCTGAAAAGAATCGTTTTCTGTGGCTTTGAGACAAAGAGCAATGTTGCTGAGTAAGAGTGTCGAATAATGACTTTGAAATACCCAGAGAAGTTGTGCTTTCTGTTCTTGACGTTGGTTTGTGATATCTATGAAATCACAGTCTCTGGCACGTAAAAGGTTACTATTACATGTTTTAAAAAACTGATAAAATTTAGTTGGCAAAGCTTGATCGAGAAAGTGTGGGTGTAGAGCTGGTTTGGTAGGCAGGCAAACGCAAAACACAGGCAAACAGTTGGTGACACCATTACCTTTTGTGATTACGTCTCTCTAAGAGACAAACTGGGGTGCACAAAATTGATTGGTTAAGATGTTTAAATATCTTGTTCTAACCTCTGGTTAAAAAAAAAAAGTAAGCCCGTTTATACTTTCATGGAGCTATTTTTGGGCTAAAATTAAGGGCTGCCTGCTTAGTAAGTTGCCAATAATCGTGCTAGAGCACAACCATGCCAGATACCTGGCGTGAAGGAGTTACTAAAAATATGATTTACTATGTTGTGCAGAGCAGGAAATATGACTAATTTTAGAGGTGGCCTTTTGGCAGATCTGTTTTTAGCAAGTATTTCTGAAACAAACAGGTGCGAAATCCTGTATTTTTAAAGTGCTAGAAATTCAGGAAATCTGAGGAAAAGAAATGCTTGGAGACTTGGAAATTCCCATTAATCCTCAGCAGGGACTTCTTGGCAAGGAGGCATTTGCAAAGCACCTGCTCTGTGTGCCCTGTGCGACAAGGCAGTGCCTATAATTTCGTAGATTGCATGCTGCAGTTGCTGGCTCATTCTTTTGAACTTCCTGCCTTGCGTCTTTTTGAAATAGTTGTGCATGACGGAGATTGGCACGTAGGGCTTGGTTTCTAGTGTTCATTGATAACAGGTCCCGTGGACTTCAAAGGGTGCTTTGGTCAGCATAACAGTGTAGAGCGGTGCCCACGAAGAGGTGTACAACCCTGTATTTTCTTTACAGGCATTGAATCACAGCTATAGCTTCCCGTGCATACCTGTCTGACTCAGTCTGCAAGATTACAGCATTCTGCACACTGCCCGCTGTTCCAGGGCCTCTTGGCAATCATCCGTCCCTGGGGTCATCCTCCCAGAAGGGGTGGATGTCTCCCCCCACCACCGCCCCCCGAAGAGATGGGCAGGCTGGGTGTTCTCCGTGGGAAGGTGGTTTAGGCACAAAGTATCATTTGCCTTGGGACATACACCCCCCTCTCGATTATTCATGGTAACTGAGAGACCTGCTCTCTTGGCTATTTGAAACCCATAGATAATCCTTGAGCCTTATTGTGGCTAACTGGTGAAACCTCTGCCTCCACTCAGCCTGGGTCCAAGCGTTGGCCTGAATTGAATTTCATGCTTTCTGATAGGCGGTGCTGCTGGGTGGTAAGATGACCAGCAGGCAAGAGCTAGAAGCACACGGCCTGACAGGCTGATACCTCTACAAACTGGAGGGCGCTATCCCTGCCCCTTCATCATAAATACCAGTCCAGTGGTGCAGTGCTTTATGGTTTTTTCAGGGTCTTCCCGTGCGTTTTCTCATTAGATGCTTGCAGCGCCCCTGGGCAGGTGAG